AATAACACATGAATAACACACAATAACACATGAATAACACGGGGGGGAATATTCCTCGTGTTACTGCGCCGTTTTTTTTCTGCGTCGCGAGGGATATCGTGGCGTGATTTCATTGGGTACGCACGTTACTCTACGTGCGTAGTACTGATGTAATATTTTTTCTAATTTACTATAAACTTTAAAACTAATCGTTAATTTAATATAACCATTATAACTTTTCAATATTTCAAAATTTAGCACAACTATTATAAATATTTTTTTAATTGTTATAAATGTTTTTTATTCCTTTGTATAAATGTTCTGATTATAAATGAATTAATGAAACCTGTGATGTAGATTTTTAATTATAATTTTAAGGACTTCTAATAAAAATGATTAGGTAAAATAACTTTGAGTTCGTAATAATTGTGTTTTTTTCAAAATTGAATGTAATGAATTTGAGATGTTACCTTAAAGAATGACATGTACTATGCATCGCATGAAATCACTATAGGGGACCGTTCGAACGTAGGATCAGAATATTTTATTATTTGTGAAGAAAAACTCACAAGTGTTTGCAAATTATTTTTGGAGTAGTGTTGAAATCGCTTTATTGCTCAACGCATTGTTTCATTATGGGATAATATTTAGAGGGTTATCGTTAATACCTCTTGCGAAGTCGTCCTATAAGAGTCATGAAGTTCATGATTTCTATGTAGTTCCTCTAATAGATCGTTGAATAATACGTGTGTCATGCAAAACATATCGTTAAATCTCTTCGGGACTTTCTCCAACATATGAGGTGGTCATGCAATGGGAGTAATTTATGTACGAGTTGTAATATTCGTAGATCAAGCATATGACTGCTGCAATTCTCCTTCTGTGTCTTTCTCTAGTTGCATTTATGTAGATCAGTATCGTATTGGCTAACACAGAAACATCAATGAATTAGCTAAAATCATATAAGGTTACGAACAACACAATAAATATATAAGTATCACTTAATAAGGCATTTCTCGAGCAATTGAAAAACAATAAGCAAATATAAATGTAACAAGCAATTGTAAATAAAAAAGAATCACAAATGTTCATGTGATCATAAAAATGTCGTAGCTATGTCACTCTACGGTCATCGGGTATCTTGACAAAAAAATCTCTACTGGTCAGATCTTCAAACAACTTTATCGCAAACAAGCGCACTAGTTCATCCTCATAAATTTCTCCAGTTGCATTCAGAATTTGCAAGGCTTAGTCGATAGAATTTGCTTGAGGTGGGCGGGATTCAGCACTGCAAAAAGCCACCAATGTAATATATGGCTTATAAGAAAAGCATCCCCAACTTTCTTTTTATTCTAAAATCACAGACGCTTAGAATGGGAGGTGGATTCAAGTTCATGGAGGTCCAAGCGGGAGACTTCTATTGAATCACCTGATCGATCGGCTCCCAACTTCTCTGGGTGCCACTAAACCCTGTCTAAATGGGGGTACGTGCATAGTTGCTCGTAGCAAAGACTTTCACAAACATTTGATCCAACTCAGGAACAAGTCAACAAATTTAAAATTTGTTTGCAGCGGATACCACCTACAAATTCATAATGTACACTTCAATTTAAAAAAAATCAAATTGACCAAATTAGGGGACATGTCAAAAATGCTTTAAAAAAATCAAATTGACCAAATTAGGGGATATGTCAAAAATGCTTATTGCATGTCTCTCTGCTCATCACTCATCGAGAGCATCAATGGTTTACTTCATCTTGCATGTCTCTCTGCCCATCACTCATCGAGAGCATCAATGGTTTACTTCATCGGATCCCACCACCAGTCAGTTGACCCTCGTTTCACTTCATTTCAAAAATTTCAATCATTCTTAAGTTGATCCCATTTGTTCTTCAATTACATCCTATCGCACCCTTTGCCCGCACTTTCTTTGAATTTTTTTTATAATATTTTGTCACCCTTCATTGTTGAAATCGGTAGTATGCTTAGTTAGCATATCGATCTCCTTGAGGCAAATGTTACAAAATATTATTTTGATTTATTTGTCCCGCATTAAGGTTGTACTAGCATCATTGGTCTTAACCATTGTATTACTATGATAAAAAAACAAAGTTACCTAAATAAGAATGCAATACTGTATGCACATGCCAACAATCAACAACCCCAACCCACAACCACCACACAACCCAAGACACACACACACAGAGCACAATCCTGAGCACTGCACAACAACACAATCCATACCCAAAACATACAAACACAAAAAATCCAAACCCAACACACCAACACACCAGCAGCAACCCAACATAAACTCACACACCAACACACTGGACAAGCACACAACCCAACACACACATGTTGGACAGCAGCAAACTAGCTACATATTTACCACATAATCCACAACCACCACACCACCCCAACCCAGAACCACCACAATCCACAACTTGAATTATAAAAAATATGCTCTGAATTCACATGACCACCAGAGGCACGAACACCACCTCAAAGCTACACCCACAACACCTCACCCACAACCATAGACCCAACCTACAACCACCACCCCAACCCAGAACCACCACACAACCAAACAAAACCACAACCCACTGCCACCACCACAACCAACAACACAGACATAAGACACAACCCTAAGCCACAACAGTCATTCCAACTTTTGAAACTAATTAACATACCAAAAAGTAGGTAACATATTGTGCATATAGAAAAGAGCAGCACCCTCACTAAAACCATCATAAAGCACGAGCCACAGGCCACAGTCAACACCACAACTCACAACCACCACACAATCACAAACTCATTGCGCAAGATAAAGCCATCACACAACTATATAACCTCATCCTAACCCACAAGTACCACAACCAGATAGACATAGCCACCACTCCAACTCACAACCATCACCTCAACCCACAGCCACCACCCGAACCAACAGAATCAACAACACAAGCTTGAGTCACCACACAATCATAAAACCCCACCCCAACCCACAAGTACCACAACCACACAATCACAATAAATACCCTAAACCACAACCCCCCAACCCATAACCACCACAAAACCACATAACACACAGAACTGTCTAGAGTCCCTAAAAAACCACAGAATTCAACCCAACCCACAAGTACCACCGCCACATAACCACAAAACCCACAACACAAGCTTGAGCCACCACACAACCACAAAACTTTCACTAATGCAAAAATGAAATTATATTAGTGGAATGATTCTTTTATATTTTTCTCAAGAAAATAAAAGAAGATAGTATAAAAACTCAAAAGCTCGCACATAAAAGCACTTACATGTTTAACATAAAAAAGTAAGTTATTGCCAAACAACAGAAGCTTTAGACCTCACCAAAACTTGTTAATCAATCTTTCTCGACTTGTAAAACTACTAAAACATATTATTATGAAAAATAACATAAGCATTACTCAACAGTGTTATCATGATTGTGATTGAAAAACTAAAATAATCATCCACAACAACTTGTTATGATGCTCTATTACCCATTGTCATCTCTTCTGATGGTTAATCATCAAAGAAGATAAATATTGAAGATCTAGACAACATAGAAAAAAAGTCAACAACGACTACTGCTAAATAGAATTTTGGAGCATTTACATGCATATCACAAAACTCTCTGTATTTTACATATCTCTGCCTAAACTTTCATATATAGACACATAACACATAATATTTTCACATTAACTTCAAAATTTTGGTACTTTTTATAGATAACCTACATGAAACTTTCTATATATATTGGTACCATTGTGTTGCGTTATGACATGAATTTATATTGATTTGAACATTATCTTGTCTACCTTTAAGAAAGTTGATAACAAATCTTGGATGGACAATATGTCAAATAATGGTGAAGGCTTGATGATGGCTTGGGGTGTTGATTCTCAGGCAACCCATGTGGCCATTATTGGGATGGACAAATTCTACTTGGGAGATTTATATACATAGCTCATAATTCTTATATACTTAAAAATTTAA